CGTTCGTTTGTCAGATTAGCATTGCACGTAAACACGTTATCTGCAATAAATATGCAACCAACTTACCAACAGGACGACCTCAGCGACAACCGCGGACAAACGATATGCAGCTGATGGGCGGATGGCTTTGTTCAAATATACTTTGCCCTTGTAATGAGAGCACGTGACACAGCTGACGAGTAAGTGTGCCGATTGCGTTGATTGCATAAATAGTTGTTTACCATGATACTTTGTTTGCGAGTAAAGGCGTGGTTACTAAATTCAGCTGCCAATCAAACATCGATTCCAAACTCTCTCGACCAATGAGATCCCTCAAGGTATCGCGCAGAGATGGAGATAAGGCACCAAATATAGTCCAGGAATCTAATCTTGTACGAGTCATTGGTTGTTTAAGAAACCAAGCATAAACATTATTTCCAGTATGGTATAATGGTTTTAAAGTTAAAATTAACGTTCTAGTTTGAACAATTCCTCTTTCTGCTAAATTGCTAAAAATAAGTAACTTTAAGATAACTTCAAAAGCAATGAAAGTTTGGCGAAATCTGGCGAACCACCTACTTTGCATAAACCCATTAAAAGACAAAAGGAAGCGCGCAAATTGCGCTCTGAGGAAGAAAACCACGAGTTTTGTCATTATAACAGATGATGTCTCAGATAAGTCTGAAAATGCATTACAAACCAGTGAAATATCACTTTTATGAGCTACTCTATTGTTCTAACTATCAATAATGCCTTCTGAGAACGGGAAAACGACGAACGAAGGTGTATACAGGTAACTGCAAAGCACTCATGCAGAGCAGCACGTCCATATAATTAATGAGCCCTGGTATGCAGACATCAGGACATCATGCGGTTTGGAATTTTGCTGGTCACTGAACTTGAAAAAGCAGCGACATAAATGAAAAATGTAATCATTCCCTCAGAGAAATGACAACACGATTAGGCGAAATTCGGCAACGTTGCTTTGTCGAATTTTCTAGGGGTTCACAATCAATCTGGTGTGACGGATTTTGGATCTTTGCAAATCTCCAAGGTATATTCCATCTTGTCAGTGATACGTAAATCCCAGCTTAAAGTTCGTGCAGCAGACTGAAGAGAGTTTGTTATCGACCATTCAAAAACTAATACAAGGTAGAGTTTACTTCTTGCATCATAGCTCGCAATCGAAGAGTCCTGCGTATGGGAATGCTATCTTCTTTCACAGTGCTTATGATATTTTGGGTCTGTCGATTCTATCAGACGGATTGTAAAGCCACACATATCAAAATCCTTTTATCAACTGTTAATTCCGTTGAGCAAAAAATCTGCTTCGATGCAACCAATCGAAAAACGGGTAGCAGGTTGTTGACCATAGAATAACAGGGTCAGCATTTGGCTTTGGCGTGGTCATGCCAAAGCGAGAAAGACATGCGACCATGCGGTCTAGTGCGTGAGTTCTACGGCTGCAATTTGCTTC